CGGGAGAAAGATGAGGTTTTCTACTCCCGTAAAGATTTACACCCTCGGAAACCCTGTACAGGGTCGCTATGGGTCGGAACCGACTCGATGGCACATAACAACAACCACCACCTGTACTGACTCTGTCAGCCTACTCTGGGGTCCAGAGGTGTGGGAGAGGCCGAGACCCAAGTCCAAGGGAAAGCCAGAGGAAGCTGACAGAGTTCGGACAGGTGGTCAGAACCTAACTGGGCTGCTTGCCTGGTCAAAATATTCTCTGGCGAATCACCACCCCCTCAATGAGCCTAGCTGGTTTCATTCCCGCTTCACACAAGGCTGGCAGTTGGGGGGTGTTTGCCTCTGACTGCATCTCAGTGTGGGGTACCTGCATTATCTGGTCCTAGACAGCTGGGACTGGGGAGCAGTTAATAGCATGTTCTTCTCACCAAACCTGCTGGCTGCTCTGTGGGTTTTGTTCGGGACACACAGAGCTGGAGGGTGAGCCCAGAGTTGCGTGGATTCTTAGTGGGGAAGTGGGGAGCCACTCTTTCCAGCTCCCAGGGCCCCTTTGTTTGGTCCCTGTGTACAAAGGAGTCAGTTCCCTGAGTCCTGATCACCTGGGGCCCTGCCTTCACACCCAACTAACTGAGGCACCCCTGGGGACAATAGAGGAAAGAGAATAATGGGCCCTCCTTCCTGTGGTCTTTCACAACATGGAGCCAGAACCCGTTTCCCAGAGGTGACCATGGGGGAGTGGGAACAGCAAAGACCTCACCCACACCCCGCCCCGCTGTGCCCGGAAGTGGAGGAGGAACCCACCCTGGAGACCTGGTGGGAGTCCCAGCTGCCTGGGCCCATCCCTCCCAGCCCTCAGCACTCCTTGGATCCACACAGACTGAAGTTGCCTTTAGCTCTGAGCCTGGGCGTGTCATTAACTCCTTGAGGATAAGAAGCCTCAGGCGTCCCCATGTGTCAGAGGAGAAGTGCACACCGTGAGGTTTTCAGGGATTGCCAGGCCTTTCTTCTGGGTGGACTTGAAGCTCCAGTCTTTTGGTGAGCAGAGCACTGTTAACTATAAATGGAAGCTTCCACCTGTGCACAAATGCCCCGTCACTGGCGGGGAAGGCGGAGCCACACCAGGGCTGGTGGCAATGGGGGAGCCCAGGAGAGGAAGGTGTTAGGAGTTGGCTTAGGATTGAGGAAGGACCTTCTCCTGAGAACCTCCTGAGGTGTGTCCCTGACATGAATCTGGGCAGAGTTGGGGTGGGGGCAGCGGGGACAGACTGAAGTTCAGGCGGCCTCGTGAGGAGGGCCGCTGCCATGTGTTCCCAACAGGAAGGCAGGCTTCGAGCTCACAAAGGCCTCTTGCTCTAGGTCTGCAGGTTCTTGCATTTACCCATCCCCCCTCCTGCTCAGTAGATACAGGGATGGCCAGGAAACACTGCGGTGCCCTGGGGAAGGAGGGGGTACTGCATGTCCTACTTCTTGGCCCTAGCCCCTCCCAGCTGTCCCTCTGCCTGTCCCTGGAGTGTAACTCCCTGGGAGCTAGGGAGTCCTGGGATAGCAGGCAGAAGAGGCCCAAGGTGTCCACCATGGACTTCTGCCTTCAGGATCTCACCTACCTGAGGTCCCCACCCCGTCAAGGACCCTGCAGAAATCAGGTTGAGGGCATGAGAGGCAGGCTGTGCCTGAGGGGTGGGCAGCACACGACCAGGAGAAACCTCGGGGAGGGCGGATCTGTCTCCCCCTCCTTCATCCCACCACCATCAGAGGTGGTTCCACATGATGGTCAGTCCAGGAATGGGTCAGAGTGGACACCATGGCATGCCTCTTCTCCAAATGTAAACCGGATCACAACCCTCTCACCAGGACAGCCCAGTGGATGTGGGCCTGCTCCCTCTGCCCCACCCCATTCCCAGCCTCCCTCACAGCAGGGGGAGGAGAGGTGGGCTCCAGGGAGACTGGGGTTGGCAGGGCAGGGGCTCTGGTTGTTTGCAGAGTGGTGGGCTGTGCCCCAAAGCCCTGCTCCCCAGAGGGCGTCCTGCCAGGATCGTCGAACCCCCGGAGGCCAAGCAGTGTGACAGGAGGCTCCCTCTGGGCAGGCTGTCCCTGCTGTTGATACGGACACATGGTCATCCCACATGTGCAGAGCACAACGGCTGCATAGGGTTTTCAAGACCCTGACCTTCTAGAACATTGCAGGCCCATCTGTGGGACCTCCTCTCCCCAAGCCCAGCCCTGGGACCTCCTGCCTGTAGTCCAAGGTCTACCAATCCAGAGAGTGGCAATCACTCCAGTCCTCACAGGGCCTGGCCTAGGTCCAAGGCCACTGAGAGGAAGGGACACCTGGCCTGCCTGACCACCGCGCACAGACAAGGTTGCGTCTTCAGGTCCCGAATCTAGACCTCCAGGGCAAAGGCCCATAGGAAGCCCAGGACAGACGCTGGCCCTGCCCCCTCCCTGGGACGTGGAGGCAGCAGATACATTGTCCCAGGAAGGGCCCAGGGTCAGCCCAAGTGAGTGGAGGGCTCCGACTCCAGGGCAGGGGGTTCACAGTGCTCCTGATGCCTCAGAGCCCACCCCTTTCCACGCTGCCAGGCAGCGGGGGGCAGTCCCCACAATGGCCCACGATGGTGGTCTCGGTCCTACTAGGGATCTGTCAGACTCCACATCCCAGAACAAGGATTTATTCCCCAGCGGTCCACAGTGGCTACCACACAGGCTCCCGGGGCTCAGGGGCCTTCCCAGACCCTTGGTGACCATCCGCCGGCTCTCTGTGGGTCAGGCAGCAGGAACCCTGGCTTGCTCCCCCAGGTGGCTTCCAGCTCAGCAGCAGCTCGTGGTAGGTCAGGGTGTGGGGTGTGGACCTGGGTCCTCTGAGGCCACTTGGGGTGTGTTCTTGCCCCGCTGGAGCATGTAGGCAGATGGCCCCAGCCGCAGAATCTTCCCACTGCCCAGACACTCGTCCCCCTTGTAGAACACGGCGAACTGCAGGACAGAGGGGCCATCACCACACGTGCAGGGGAGGGGCTGACAGGACGGCGATGGACGGGAGGGTCAGGAGCCCCCTCCCTCGAGAGGGCTGTCATAGCGCCCCCACACCCGCAGGTGTCTGTAGCCCCAGAGTTTGGCCGTGGGGGCTGGTGGGAGGGAGGGTACTTCAGCCCCGCCCCCAGGCCCCCAAGTCCCAACAGGACTTAGGACAGCCCCCGGCTCCAGTGGATACCCCCCTCCATGGAGGTCTGCCCACTCAGCAGGAAGGGGTCAGAGTGGCGGCCCCTGCAGTTCCATCCTCACCATCACTTGAGGGAAGGGCTCCGCCCCCCGTAAACCAGGGCGGCTCAGAGACTCCTCCTGTCTGGGGGCCCCACTCACCTGGCCGGGTGTGAGCGCCCGCACAGAGTTCACCGCAGTCACCCACACGGTGCCGTCCTGGTTGAGGGTCAGCACACAGGGCACTGTGGGAGAGAGGGGCCTGAGAGGGGGCTTGCCTTAGGACCCCAGGGAAGAGGCGCTCTAATGGGGGTGGGGGCTGTTCAGAGGGATTCCCTCCATCTGCAAGGGCAGGGTGAGTCAAAAGAGGCTGCCCTCCCTCCAGATCAGTGCTGCAAGGGTTCAGCAGCAGAGGCCCCCAGACATGGCGGGGGTAGGGGGGGAACAGGCAGCTTTGAGCCTCAGAAAGCCCCTCCCGCTCGGTCACCTAGCGCCATCTGGTGGCGGAACCGGAAGTGACACTCCATCATCTTGTCCCGGACCAGGACAGCGGGCGGCTCCTCGGCGATCCAGTGCACCCGGCTGGTACGCAGCAGGTCCCGGTACAGAGCGGGGTGGTCTGTGCGGGGGGCCTGTGGGGTGCAACGTGCGTGAGTGAGGCCGAGAGCCCTGACCACCAGGGCTGCACCTACACCTGCCATTCAGAGCAGCAAGCACGCCTGCGTGGGCACTGACCCCTTCTCAGTGTCCATCTGTCTTCTGGTCTCACAGCCCTTCCTCTCTTGGTGGCAGCGGGCAGGGAGAGCCCAGGGCCACGCTAGCAGAGCGCACCTCTGTCCAAGTCTCCCAGGCCATCCACCTGCAGCTGCCTGGGGACCCAGCTGTCTCCCCTCAGGGTCCCACGGACCTGTCTCTCCAAAAGGCCTCCCCACTGGGCAAAAGGAAGGAGGAGGTGGTCGCCAGTTCCCAGTGACACTCTAAGGCTGTGCCCACATCCCCAGAGCTGCTGCCTCTACAACATTGAACCATGGGGCACTAGGGGTACCCCCCAGCCCCCTTCCTGAGTGAGACCAAGAGCTTTCAGGACCTGAGCAGGGAAGACAACAAGGTCAGCTGACGGCCCTTCTAGTCTTTCTCACAGCAGAGCAGACGCTAGACCTTCACCATCACAGGTACATCAGTACCTGAGCTCGGGTCTGCCCCAGGCTTCACTTCTTCCCTGCCCAGGACGGAGGCTAGGGGTGCCATGAGGTCTGGGGGGAAGAGTCTCTGGCATGGGGCACTCATCAGAAACGCCTTAAAGACAAGTCCTTCTATTCCCTGGGGCTGCCTGTCCACACGACCTCCACAGCGGTCACCCACACAGTGCCGTCCCAGGGAGGGTCAGTGCATGAGGCACTAGGGGACAAAAGTAGCCGAGTAGGGAGGAGTGGTAATGGCTACTGCTCAGAGAGACCCCCAGCGTCACATCTACAAAGGAAGCAAGCAGCCACACACATGCACACACACCCATGTGGACCTGCTGAGCACAGAGCCGTCACGAGGACAGGGCGCTGCTCACCACATAAACATCCCCCTTGACGTTGTCCTTCTCCACCACGTACCAGGGCTCCCGCAGGCCGCCAATCCGGGCTCGCTGGCCCAGGGTGTACAGGAACCAGCCTGTGGAGACATAGGGGTGCTCACTCAGAGGCTGGACCCCAGGCAGAGATGACCTCCTGGGACCCATTCACCACTAGACCAGAAGGCACACACTCGTCCAGGGGCCCATCTGGCAGGGCTAGTGGACACGTGGCCTTGGCTGTGCAGCCGCTCTCCCGCCCAGTCTCTCTAGGCCTGACTCTTTCCGGCTGCTCTTCATGCCCTGCCCCCAAGAAGTCACCACAGGCTCGATGGTGGGACCCTCCTGCCCATCCTCGGGGGCACTGCTGTGCAGGACACCCAGACACAGGGCAGGTGCACACGGGACCAGAGGCCTACACCTGGGTCACCCAGACCCCACCTGGGGACAGGAAGCTCCTCAGCAGATCAAACCCAGATCTCTCAGGGCACAGGATACAGAACCCCTACTCCCCTGCAGGAAAGGGTGGACTGGGGGAAACTCCACCGTGCAACTCACTGAGAGACACATGAACGCCCGCCCTGGCTCTCCCACCCTGCACTGGGTCAACTTGCTGGGCCACCATGTGGAGTGGGGAGGGGGGCTCCCAGGGACACACCTCCCCCACTGCACTTACATACACGGAGGTCCGCAGGCCCACGCCCAGCACCTCCACGGCCAGCACCCCACTTCATGCACGGGAGCATCTAACCCTGGTGACCACACAGGCCTCCATCATGGAAGCCATGCTTTGAAGCCAACATAACCCTTTTTGTGGAGGTGAGATTTTTCTATAACCAAACATTCTCTCCTTCATCTAGTGCAAAACAATTCTACTGATGCAGGAGGCTTCTGAACCAGATGGCGTGCTCTTTCATCACCTCCACTGTTGAAAAGAAGCCCACGCCACTGGGGTAACTCACAATCGTCATACTCCTAAGATCTTGTTCTATAGCCTAGTTCAGGGTTTGCAATCAGCCACCTAAGTTACAACTACTGAGCTCTACTCATCCTGAGTCAGACAGGAGGAATGAAGGCTGGGAAAAGCAGCTGCTTTACAAGGCCGAGACCTACATGAGCCACACTGAATAGGCCTACTAATGCATAGAAGAGAGAGATGGGGGAGTGGAAGGGCGGTTAGGTGAGGGGACAGGTGAGTGGTTGGATGGATGGGTGGTTGGGTGGCTGGATAGATGGGTGAGTGGATGGGTGGGTGGTTAAGTGAGTGGACAGGTGGGTGGACAGGTGGATGGATGGATGGATGGATGATTGAATGGGTGAGTGGTGGGGTGGGTAGATGCGTGAGTGGATGGGTAGGTGAGTGAATGGGTGAGTGGTTAGGTACAGTCCCATATCTCCCTCAGTCTCCTCTACCCTGAGCCCAAGCACTCTGACCACCACGTGGGCCCACAGACCCAGAGAGGGCCGGAGCAAATGGACAGCACAACTGGGAATCCCAACAGGTTCAGACTGACCGGACTGACTGAGACGAGAGAATCCCCCAGGACTACTGACCTGAGATCCCCGACGAACTAAACAGGTGGGCTCATAAAATAAAGACCGACACCTGAGGGTAAAAGTCTAAAGCCAAGATGGGAAGGCCAGGGGCAGGGAAACTAGAGTCCTGGAAACAGGACCACCAGAATGGAAATCCTGAGACGGTTGGCACACTGGCACTGACTTGTTCGTGTAAAAACTGTGTCTTAACAGAAACCTATTTGCTGTATCGATTTTCACTGAAAACACAATATATATAGAGAGAGACAGTCCTGGTGTGGTGCTGAGGGTTAATGCGCTAAGACTGAAAAGTCGGTTTGAACTGCAAGGTCGGCGGTTCAAGCTCACCAGTCACTCTTTGGAAACCCTACACAGGGTCGCTATGGGTAGGAACCAACTCAACGGCACTTAACAACAAAGGACAAAATTCTCTAGTGAAAGCTTTTACTAAATGCCCTGTGCCCTAGACATGTGCCCTCACAACCCACTGGATGATCTAGGCCCCCAGTACCCTAACCTCCCAGCACTGGGACTCACCTCGATGTGCCCCTAGGATCTTGTCATCTTCAATGGAAATGAAGTTCCCGGGTCGGGGCTGTAGGTACTGGAAGGCAAACGGTGTTTTTAGTTCCTGAGGCAGCCGGTCCAAGGCAGGAACAACGGCTCCACCGTCTGCGGCTCACACTCACCTGAAGGATGAAATCCTCAAAGTGTCTTTTCCCAACGAAGCAGATGCCCATGCTCTGAAACGAGAGAGGCCGTGGGAGCCAGTGGTTCACCCCTTACACAGGCAGGGTATCCTCTTGCTACACGTCGGGCCCTCCCATGACCTGGACCCCATTACCAGCTATGTAACATGGCTTCATTGCCATGCCCAGCAGGATGCAGCCCTCATGGGTAAACATCAAAGTAGCTGCCCCAGGAGTCAGCCCTGGGAGTGGGGTGCAGCCAACCTCCCATAGCAGAAAGAAATGCAGACTTGGTGAGGCCTCAAGGCCCGGCCCATGAGTGGAGGCTGAGACAGGGCCTGAGAAGGCATGGGGCAGATGGACCAGCCAGGTGTGGATGCTTCAGTAGGCTTGTTCTCAGCAACACTGCTGCACCTCAGACCACTGCCCACTGGCTCTCTGGCTGTGTCCCCATAGAAAGCCACTTCTACAAGGACTGGGCCTGCCCAATACAGTCCCATATCTCCCTCAGCTCCTAGCACAGAGCAACACCTGAAAACTGAATAGGCCTACTAATGCATAGAGGAGAGAGATGGGGGAGTGGGAGGGCGGTTAGGTGAGGGGACAGGTGAGTGGTTGGATGGATGGGTGGTTGGGTGGCTGGATAGATGGGTGAGTGGATGGGTGGGTGGTTAAGTGAGTGGACAGGTGGGTGGACAGGTGGATGGATGGATGGATGGATGATTGAATGGGTGAGTGGTGGGGTGGGTAGATGCGTGAGTGGATGGGTAGGTGAGTGAATGGGTGAGTGGTTAGGTGAGTGGATGGGTGGGTGGACGGGTGGGTGGATGGGTGGGTGGTTAAGTGAGTGGACAGGTGGGTGGACAGGTGGATGGATGGATGATTGAATGGGTGGGGGGCTAGGTGGGTGGATGGAGGGATGAGTGAGTAGGTGAGTGGCTGAGTGGATGGGTAAGTGGTGAGGTGGACAGATGGATGGATAAGTAGGTGGGGGAATGGATGGGATTTGGGTAGATATGTGACTAAATGGGTGTCCTCCTCAGGGACCATGATTTATCGATAAAAAAGGCATGGCTCTCGGTTTTCCTTGTACCATGTAAGTGGTCAATGCAGATCAGAGGCAAATTACTCACTCGTACCTCTTTTTTCTGAAGCACATGATGAAGTCTATTCTCAGCAGCTATTTTCTTTACAAACTCTTTCGTTAATCCCCCCAGAGGGAAGAGGGTTCTCCTCAGGGCATCCTGGGAAACCTGGCTGAGAAAGAAGGTCTGGTCTTTAAAGCTGTCAGCTGCCTGCAGGAGTTTTACGGCTGCCAAGAGCAAAGAACAGAGATATTGCAGGAGTAAAACACTGAGTGAACTCTGCTTACTAGCTACATCACCCCCGCTCTGCGAGAAACAGAACTCCCTCTCATCAACAGACCACCAGAAAAAAACTGTGGTAAACACAAGGAAAACTCTCACTCATAATTTATCCACTATTAAAAAAAAAAAAAAAAATACAGAAAAGACAAGCTTTTATGTGATAAGGAAATTTACTCTAGTTCATACTTTAGATTACACTGTTTCTGAGTGAAAAATCACAAGGGAAAACCTCTACACCTGAAGTGAGGAACAACAGTTGGTCTTAAATTCACTCAGCCAATCCAGGGAAAGCGGACAGGACAGCGGCTTGGTGCAGGGCATGGGCTGTGCTTCTACCCTGGGCACTGCCAAGGACTCTCTTCATTTTTCAAGACTAGATTTTTTTTTCTTTTAAGGTTTTCATTGTGGATTGAGTGAAAGTTTACAGGGCAGATCATCAGTTTTACATTCAACAAATCATACACCTTGTTTCATTACAATGATTATAATCCCCTCCATGTACCATCAGTTAACAGTATTTCTCTCTATCCACTTTAGCTTTTTAAAAAAACAAAAACAAAATAAAACAAAAACACTCAAGCATATATAATAAGTTACATCTCCAAAGAGCACATTCTGCAAGTCTGCCTCTGGCCACCAGCTCTCAGTCCCTCTCTTCCCATGAATCTAGAGTCCTCAGCAGCTCCCCTTTCCATGTCTACATCTCTGCCTCTGTCTCTGGAGTAGCTGCTTCTCTGGATAGGGTCCCACATTCTGCTTGTGCTCTTCTCCCTTGATGGTCCTAGGGTCCTCTGTTTCTGCACTGTAGGATTAACCACTCCCCTAGTTTTGTTACAAAACTTTTACCTTTACAATTGTGACAGTCGTAATTAGTCACAATAACAATTATTCACTATTGAATCATACGAATCTTATCCCCATCTCTTTTCACCAGACCGGCCTAGACAGGATGAAAATTATTCAGTGGGAACTCTTTCTTCCCCCTCACACTCTTAAACTAAACTCCCTCTTGAAACTTTGTAAGCCAGTCACTTCATTCCTTTATCACCCTCTCATTTTAGGTAGCCAATGTCTAAGTTGCCCATCCCTATCTACCCTGTGTACAGAGGGGATAGGATTGATACTTGATGTAAAGACTTCTTCCCTCTCTGTTGGTATTTAGAGTTACTACCTCCGTGAGTATAGTTCAGGTTCATCTAATTGTAGCAATTTACTCGTTTCCTTTATCAAAAAAAAATTTTTTTTTCCTTTGTAATCTTCCTCTAGTCGAGTTCTGATTATCAAGCCATTGAGGCTAGGTCAAATGGGTACTGTCTGCAAGTTTGGGTGTTCTTGTGCATCTCCCCTCACCTCATATCAGCTGGATGCTTCACTCTCAGTTCTAGCCCTCTGAGGCTATGTCCTTGTCCATGGACTCAAGTGTCCCCAGGTATCACCTCACTTTGGACCCACCAGCCCTTCCTCTTCTCACTCTCATCTCCAGGTCAGCGAGAGTCAATGGACTGTGGATCAAAGTCCATTTCTTCATTGCTGCCTTTTCCCCTCTTCCACTCACCAGTAGACCAATGTGGTCGCCAGCAAGCTTACATGCCTGCTCATTAAGTTCCCTTTGAGCTTCATTTTTAGAGGGGAGTTTGTCCTGAAGGAACCTGATTGCTTGCCTTGATGGCTTCCCGGCGAACAGCTTGCTTATTCTTGTAGTAGCCAGTCATGCTGCCATTTTTGTTTTGGATTTTTCCTGATGATCTTTCTTTGAAGATGTATCTTCTGTCACTCTAGCTGATCCAGGCTGGCCTCCTTGTCCTTGCTAGTGGGAATGTCCTACCTCAGAAGGTTCTGGATGGGACTCAGGATTCCACCTAAGGTCCTATACTCTGTAAAGGCTTTGCAAGAGGCCTATTTCACTGGGCAAGTTTTAGAACCCCTTTTAGGTATTCCAATCAGTTACAGGCTGCTTGGTTGTTGTGACGTAACTCAGGATTTAATTTCCGGCCTATTTCCTGATTCGTCTGCATGTCCCGCTCCACAATTTCCGTTCAGGCCTTTTTCCCAGCAAAAAAAGTTCAGGGCCGGCTGTGGCTGTTTTGCATTGTTGTTTGGTTTTAAGTGGAAACTACTACTTTAAATCTCGGGATCTGTTTGCATGCATAGTGGAATCCTCCAGAGGTGGGGGTGGGGTGTCCACGCGCTCAGACACCCCCTCTAGTTATCTGAATGGAAGTGTGCAGGCAGCGAGAGACCAATGAACAGATACCAAAAAAAAAGAACGTCCACACCTTTATCTCCGCACTTCTGTCAGGCATCCGTGGCTGCTCTGATCCTTCCCCTGCATGGTCTCACCCAAGATGGAGGCTCGGGGAGCAGCTGAGCACCTTGGATTAGAAAGCACTGGATTTCTTCCTTCTGCTACAAATTCCCCTAACTGTAAGCCTTCCAACCTTCTAAATATTCCTTTATATGTGGTTCAGAGTTCTGGCACCATCCCGTGAGCCTGCTTGGGCCAGTATTCTGTGATGTTGCTGATGGAGCTTGTCACTGCACATCTGCCCGATCCACCATCTGGTTTGTTCTCCAGGGCTAGACTTTTAACTGCAGGAGCCCTGTAGGTTAAAGTCCAGCTGTACAAACCCAGCAGCCACTCTGTGGCAGTCTCGGGAACCCTAAGGAGCAATGCCAGGGGCCTCTGAGTCAGAGCCCACTGAACAGTGGTGGAGGGTTTGGGTCCTCTGAACTAACTGCATCCCCTCCATGTTTAGAGCTGAAGCTGGACTCTCTCAGATGCCCACCTGCAGTCCCTCTAGCATGCCAGATCGCACTGTAAATGCTACTTCTGGGGTCTCCGTGGCCTTGGTTCAGCAAAGGAGGGGCCACCCATCCTTGGGTTCACAGGTTGATGGGGAGACATACAAGCCCATCAGTATGGGCACTTCTTGTAGCATTTCTCATCTGGATCAAGTGCTAACTGCAGTTTGTTGACAGCTTTCAGTCTGTGTGTCCTCGGTTCCTGGAGCCTTGCTTTTTGCCATCAGTACAGCACCATCAGCTCCTGATCATCTATGGCTCCCTCTTGAAACAGCTGAACTTTGACCAACTGTTTTTGGCACAGTGACTCTGTATATACCTGCCATCTCCATGTGATGCTGCCAGCATCATCCAACATTTCTCCCATAGAATCCTTCAATACTGAAGTTTTTTTTTAGTTCTTGCAACTTGAGAAGAGCTGAGTGTATTCTTTCCTTTTGGTTTTCTAGCTCTAAGACTTTGCATATTTCATTATAATACTTTACTTTTGTTTGCATCCACACTGCCTGTCAGTAGGTCACCAGTGTCCAGCAGTTGTCTGGTGAATCTTCATCCTCATTACATTATCTGGACAACTGCACCCAGATATGGTACAGGACGTTCCTGATTCCTTTAGCCCAGACAGCTTTGTTGAGCCTGGCGTCAATGCGCATGTCTGGTGTTCCCATCTCCTTCGTGGCAAATTTCTGAATCTCCTTGAGTGCTCAAGGGGCACCCTTCTTGAAGCCCGCTCCATGGATGCGCTTGTGAATGTTGACAGTGTCCTCTCTGGTCACCCTTCTTCTTCTCGCCACCATTCTTTGCAGGAGCCATAGTGATGGGGCCAGGTCAGAAATAAACTTGACATCCATTTTTGCCTTTGTTTCTTTTCTGTCTTTTAAAGTAATCTTGTGCTTTCTTCCTGTATGATATTATTGATATCATCCCATAACTCTTCTGGTCTTCGGTCATTAGTGTCTACTGCATCAGATCTGTTTTTGAGATGGTCTCTAAACTCGGAATAGACTCAAGATCATATTTTGGTTCTTGTGGACTTGTTTGTTTTCTTCAGTTTCAGCCTGAACATGCAGATGGGTAATTGATGGTCTGTTCCATAATCAGCCTCTGGCTTTGTTTTGGCTGATGATTTAGAGCTTCTCCATCTTCTTTTCCCACAGACATAGTCGTTTTGATGTCTGTATATTCCATCTGGTAAGGTCTATGTGTATAGTTGCCTTTTGTGTCGCTTAAAAAAGGTGTTTGCAATGAATACATTGTTGTTCTTACAAAACCCTACCATGGGATTTACAACATTATTGCTGTCGCAAGGACCATAGTTTCCAACTACTGATCCTTTCTCGTAGTTTCCAACCTTTATATTCCAGTTACCAGTAATTATCAATGCATCTTGACTGTATGTTTGATCAGTTTCAGACTGAAGAAGTTGTTGGGTGTGTCACGGAGTCGATTTTGACTCATAGTGACCCTGCATAGAGTTTCCAACGCTGTAAATCTTTACAGGAGCAGAAAGCGTCATCTTTCTCCAGAGGAGCGACTGGTAGATTCCAATGTGTAACCACTCGCTGTGCTACCAGGGCGCCTTCAGCTTCACCCTCACTGGCTTTACTGGGTGGTGCATACATTTGAATAATAACGAGTCTTCCTTGTAGGCATATGGATATTATCCTATCACTGATAGCACTGTACTCTAAGACAGACCTTGACAGGCTCTTTTCGATGATGAATGTGGTACCATTGCTTTTCAGTTTGGTTTTTCTGCATAGCAACCATCTGATTGATTCAAAATGACCAGTCCATGTCTACACTAAGGCCTGAGATACATTCACTTGTCTATGCCAAGAAATTTGAAAGCTGCCTGTCCAATTGATTGGAATAGATACATATTTGTGCCCATTCCAAAGGTGACCCAACGGAATGTGGAAATCAAACAATATCATTAATATCACATGCAAGTAAAATTTTGCTGAAGGTAATTCAAAAACAGTTGCAGCAGTACATTAATAGGGAGCTGCCAGAAAATCAAGCTGGATTCAGCAGAGGATGTGGAACGAGGGAACATCAGATGGATCTTGGCTGAAAGCAGAGAATACCAGAAAGATGTTTACTTCGGCTTTATTGACTATGCAAAGGCATTCGACTGTGTAGATCATAACAAACTGTGGATAACATTACAAAGAATGGGAATTTCACAACATTGAACTGTGCTCATGAGAAAGCTGTAAATAGAACAAACTTGTACATAGAACAAGGGAATACTGAAGGGTTTAAAATCAGGAAAGGTGTATCCTTTCACCATACTTATTCAGTCTGTGTGCTGAAAGCTGGACAGTGAATAAGGAAGACCGTAGAAGAACTGATGCTTTTGAGTTATGGTGTTGGAGGAGAGTATTGAAAGTACCGTGGACTGCCAAAAGAACCAACAGATCTGTGCTGGAAGAAGTGCAGCAGAGTGCTCCTTAGAAGTGAGAATGGCGAGACTTCATCTCTCCTACTTTGGACATGTGATGAGGAGGGGCCAGGCCCTGGAGCTTATAGTGGAGGGTCAGCTGACAAAGAGGACCCAGTGCAGCAGCTATGGGCTCAAACAGAACAACTGTGAGGACGGTGCAGGGCCGGGCACTGTTTCCTTCTGTTACGCAAAGGGTCACTATGAGCCAGAACCAACTCGACAGCACCTGACAACAACCACCATCTTTACTTCAAAACAGAATTCTGTCAAACAGGGATATGAGTATCAAAGCCTCAGACCATAGGGAACTTTAGCTTCTCTTTCAAGGCTCTTTTAAAACAGTCAAAGTCCATGATTTTGAGATGAGAAAGTGGCCAGTCCTAAACTCCACGACCAGCCAGCACAAAAGGTGGTGAGGAAGAGCTAGTTCCTACTGAGGCCTGGCCCGTGCGGGGCTTCCTCACACAGTAGGAGGCAAGCTGGTGGAAGTTCTGCTGGTCACACCAGAGACCAGGACATCCGTCAGTGAGGCTCACTGCCTGCAGTCCCCAGCCCAGGTCAGCCCAGGCAGACAGCCTAGTCCAGTTACCCACCCAGAGCAACTAGGTAACACTAATAAAGTCTTCCTGTGCCTAGTCGTGGGAGTGAAAATACCATATATCACACTACACATGTACTAGTGCAACTGACAGGGTGCCAGGGCCCCTGTGGCCCGCTGAGGAGCTGAACAGCCCTGTGAAGAATGTCAATGTGGAGACAGAGCCTCTGTCCACTCATGTCCAGATGCACCTGGTGAGTCCCCAGTGACCAGGTTGCACTGAAGATCTGACCTCAGAGGGCAAGGCCTTAGTTAACACTGGAGCACCTCAAACACTATTATCACCTTGAACACTATTTCAACCTTCAGCACACCAACAGAGCCAACATCTGGATGATCAAGTGTTGACTCCTTTTTCTACTAGCCCTGGCCCCTGACCCGACTTCTGTTCCCAATCACACAAACCTTGGGGGGAATGGCCCCCTTGATAATGACTTCTCAAATGTGACAGCAAGCAGGTTCCCACACAGAAGGATGGCAGATCTGCTGAGATTACAACCCACTGCCAATCCTCACAACAGTTACTGTGTACGGACAGTTAGGCTTTGCTCTGGGCAGTGTGACTTACTGTTTCTAACTTCAAATCGATTTCTGAAAAGCCCTTGGGGCCTCTGAACATGCTTCTGCTGGAAGACTTCCTCATCTTCTAGCGATGTCCTTGCATAGTGACCTGTGGCCACAGCATCAGCTCCTGGGAGGTTTTGAAGCACAGATGTCAGCCTCATGTTCACTTGCTTTGGCCAGCACCAACCACAGGCAAAAAAGGAGCCTCAAACACAGTCTCACACTAGACAGTCTTCACAGCTGACCCTCACCCCCACCCCACATCACCACATGGCCTCACACCACAGTCTCCACAGCTGACCTCCAACCCCCACCAGACATCACCACACATGGTCTCACACTGGACAGTCTCCACAGCTGACCCCTGACCACCCCACATCACACATACATAGTCTCACACTGGACAGTCTCCACAGCTGAACTCTGACCACCCCACATCACCACACGGTCTCATACCGTGGTCTCCACAGCTGACCCCTGACCACCCCACATCACACATACATAGTCTCACACTGGACAGTCTCCACAGCTGACCCCTGGCCACCCCACATCACACATACATAGTCTCACACTGGACAATCTCCACAGCTGAACTCTGACCACCCCACATCACCACACGGTCTCATACCGTGGTCTCCACAGCTGACCCCCACACCCCCAATGAGAGCCTGCAAAGCAATGCACACCTTGAACCCTGCTAACCCTTTAGTCATTCACTAGGGATTTAGATGATGCACCCTTGCTACAAAGTTACACTAAAACGTCCAGAGACTTCCAAATGTTAATATGTATCCATTCATTCATTATAGCTTAAGTAAATAATCAGTTATGTGCACAAAGATTTAAGTTAAAAAAAAAAAAGTTCCAGTGTTTCTTATGTTGTTGTTGTTAAGTGCTGTTGAGTCGGTTCTGACCCATAGTGACCCTGTATAGGGTTTCCAAGGAGCTGCTGGTGAGCTTGAACTGCCGACCTTGCAGTTCAAATGGTTTTGCAGACTGGCGCATTAACCCACAGCACCACACCAGTGTTTCTTATGGTAAGGAAAAACTGAAAACCACCAAACCATTATGTATATATCCAGGCAGAGCAGGGAAGGGTTCCAGCGCCACTGCAGTTGATATTTACAAAGAATTTTTATTGACCGGAAAATACTTATAACGTCTATGAGACTCCAACTCATATAGAGATCCTGTATAGGATTTTCGTGGCTTCAAATCTTGGTAGGAACAGAAAGCCTCATCTTTCTCCATTAGAGTGGCTGGTGAGTTCAAACCACTAACCTTATGGTTCACAGTCTGGTGTTTATCCTATGGAACAACCACACTCCCCTATAATATTGTTAAGTAGGGGAAACCTACATGAGAGTGCTTTAAAAAGCTCATGGAAAAATTGGAGCTAACAGACAATGGACTATCCAGAGCAGCTAGAAAGAAGAACAGAAGGCACGTCCTGAAAGACGAGCAGGAAAAACAACAATGCAATCTGATTGGCTACTACAGGACCAAGCAAGTTGTTCACCAGGGAGCCATCAAGGCAAGCAATCAAATCCCTTCAGGGCAAACCCCACTCCAAGACTGAAATTCAAACGGAACACATGAGCAGGCATGTAAGCTCGCTGGTGACCACATTGGTCTACTGGTGAGCGGACGAGGGGGAAAGGCAGTAATGTAGATATGGGCTGAGTTCAACCATGTTCCATAGACTCCTGCTGACCTGAAGATGAGAGAGAGAAGAGGAAGGGCTGGTTGGTCCAAAGTTTGGGGAGACTTGGGAACTCCTGAGCCCATGGACAATGAATGGCCTAGCCACAGAGAGCTGGAGCTGAGAGTGAAGCATCCAGTGGATAAGAAGTGAGGGTAGATGAACAAGAATGTCCAAACTTGCAGACAGATAGTACCCATTTGACCTAGCTGTGATGTCTTGATGATTAGAGCTCAACTAGAAGAAGATAAAGCTGATAAAGGAAGCAAGTACAAATTGCTACAATTTGATGAATTTGACCTAGACTTGTAGATGCCGCAGCTCAAAATACCAACCGAGAGGGTAAGAGTCTTTACATCCAGGATCAAGCCTATCCCCTTTGTACACAAGATTGTTACAGATGGGCAACTCAGACACTGGCGACCTTAATGGGGAGGGGGGGAGATCTTTAAAGGCACAAAGTGGCTGGCTTACAAGTTTTCAATTAGGAGTTTAGTTTCAGAGTGTGTAGGGAAAGGCAGAATCCCCACTAAATCATTTCCATCTTGTCTAGATGTGTCTGGTGAAAGGAGATGGGGATAGGGCTCTCTCTTTTGATTCAATAGTGAGTAACTGTTATCGTGACTAATTGCAATTATCATAACTGTAATGGTGGAAGTTTTATAACATAAAGGGGGGTGAGGGGAATAGTTAATCTTACATTCCAGAAACAGAGGACCCTAGGACCATCAAGAGAGAAGAACACAAGCGGAACACGGGACCCTATCCAGAGAGAAAGCAGTGACACCAGAGATGGAGGCAGAGATGGGGACATGGAGAGAGGCAGCAGCTGAGGACTCTGGACTCATGGAAAGAGAAAGGCTGAGTGATGGCAGCCAGGAGGCTGACTTGCAGAACATGCCCTTTGGTTGTTTAAATGATTATATATTCATAAGTGTTTTTGTGTACATCAAAAAAACAAACAAACCAAGGAATAGAATGATGTATTGTAATCATTGCAATGAAACAAAATACAATAGGATGAGTGTAAAACTGATGTTCTCCCATGTAAACTATCACCCAATTCACAATAAAAGCTTAAAAAAAGGGAGAGAGAATGGAATATTTCCATGAACTTTTAGTTTTGAAGCCCCCTCATATATACTGCCAAACACAAAACCAACTCACTGCCACACAGCTGATGTCAACTCACAGCAACCTCGTAGAGAGTTTCTAAGATTAAATCTTTAAGGGAACAGGAAGCCTCATTTTTCTCCCATAGAGCCATTGGTGGGTATGAACTGACAACCTTGCAGTTAAAAGTCCATCGCTATGCCAGAGATGGAGGCTGACACGATGACGTGGAGAGATGGAGTGGCTGGGCACTCTAGACTCATCGAGGGAGAGGGACTGTGTGTTGATGACCAGGGGGCAGGCTTGTAGTGTATACCCTTTGGTTGGCTGATGATGCACGGAGGGGACTGTAACCATGGCAATGAAACGATATATGATAGAATGAATGTAAAGCTAATGTTCTCCCAGGTAAACTATCGCATAATTCACAATAAAACATTATTTAAAAAAAAAAAAAGAGTCCATTACTTACCCTACAGTGCCACTAGGTCTCCTTATATATACACTACAGTCCCAAATGTTTAAGTGCACAGAAAAAAACAAAGAAAAATCTCAGGTCAATGTGATTTCGGGACGTGAAGTTACAGATGCTCAGGAGTTTTAAATAGGAGCTCTGGTGGCAAAGTGGTTAAGCGCTCAGCTACTAACTGAAGGGTTCAAATCCATTAACTCTAGTTTCTCTGCAGGAGAAATATGTAGCAGCCTGCTCCCATGAGGATTGACAGTCTTGGGAACCCTATGGAACAATCCTACAGGGTCATTATAAAAAGCATAGTGCTTACGAGGTGGGCTGTTAACCACAGGTCAGCAGTTCGAATCTACCAGCTGCTCTGAAGGAGAAAGATAAGACTTTCTATTCCCATAAAGACTTATAGCCGTGGAAATGCTAGACAGGGTGGTATGAGTTCAACGGACTCCACAGCACACAGCACCATAGGGTGGGTCACTAGGAGTTGGTAATGGATTACATTTCAGTACTTTTTACTTTAATTTCTCCTTTCCAAATAAGGCAGCAGAGTGACAGAAGCTGCCAAGGCACGTACTATTGTTGGGTGTCGTTGTGTCGGTTCCGAGCGACCCTGTCACAACAGGCTGAAACTCTGCTTGGCCACCACAGTCTACGTCTCCCTGGGCCAACACTGCACACCCTCAGTCTTGGAAGATGCAGTGGGACGGATTCAGAATGTAACCAACCAAGGCAACTCAGTGTGAAACGAGACGCAGCGAGGAGCTGCCACGCAGGGCTGTGAACTACATGTCCACTGACCACTGCGAGCCCACTGCACGGCGCTGACACTGACTCACAGCGACCCTGTAAGACAGGAAAACTGCCCCACAGGGTTCCCAAGGCTGTGACCCTTTACCGAGGCAGACTGTGTCATCTTTCTCCTGTGGAGCAGCCGGTGGGTTCAAACCCACATTCTGATTCACAGCTGAGCGCTTAACCACTGAGTCACCAGGACTCCTTGAAAAAGTACATTACTCACTGCCACTGAATCAATTCCAACAAACTGCATGGTGGTTGTGGTTGTTAAGTGCCACTGAGTCGAATCCGACTCATAGTGAAGCTGTGTAGGGTTTCTAAGAGCAGCGGGTGGGTCTGAAGCGCAGACCTTATGGTTCACAGTCTAGTGCTTGATCCTACCGCGCCACCCCTGGGGTCCACACATAACATTAGGAATACGTTACGACATCTTGAGTGATTTTCTATGGCTGGTGGCTAGTTACTGTTCGATCCCATCAAGTCAACTGAGCACACACGCCACAGAGGCAGACCCGCCCGCCAGTCCTCACCACCCGCACAATTGTTGCTGTGTGTGATCATACTGCTGCGGCCACTGTATCGCTGTATCTCCTTGGGGGGGTCTTCCTCATTTTCACTGACCCTCCACCTCACCAAGTGTGAGGTCATTTTCTAATGATTGGTCTCTCCGAATGAGGTACCCAAAGTAAGCAAGCCACAGCCTCACCATGTTCACCCTGAAGGAGCACTACAGCTGTGTTTCCTCCAAAACAGATCCATAAGGAAAGCTTTAAAAGCCCACTTTGTAGCTACCTCCTTCAAGAGCTCCCGCTCACACCACAACAATTGTAGGATTCTTCGGAGAGAATCTTAGGAGCTCAGAGGTCCAGCTCCCACGGAGTCTCCGCTTGCTACGTTACTTTGTGGGCTCAATCAGCGGAGAACTCCTGAAGGATGACCACAGGCAGGGCTGCTGATGGGGAGCTCAGCACTCCCAAAGCCAAAGGCTCGGGGCCTGTGCGCTCGGTTGGTGTCTACCACCCTGAGCACAATCTTCCCTTGCTGGTCTCCACTCTGCCCTCTGGTGTCACATGCCAAGAATGATACCATAACTCAGACATTCGCAGGATGCGCTTGTGGATTCCTGGGGTAGTGCTGCAGCATCAACACTGGCTGCTAATCAGAAGGGTGGTGGTTCAAACCCACCAGCTGCTCTTCAGAAACCCTACACAGGATTGCTGAGTTCGCACCGACTCCACGGCACGTGAACCCTATACAGGATTGCTGAGTTCACACCGACTCCACGGCACGTAAACCCTACACAGGATCGCTGAGTTCGCACCGACTCCACGGCACGTAAACCCTACACAGGATCGCTGAGTCCGCACCGACTCCACGGCATGTGAACCCTATACTGGAGGCATAATGATGAAAGCTTCTTGTTGCTATGAGTCGGTTCCAACTCATAGCGACCCTGTACAGGGTTTCCGAGGCTGTAAATCTTTACGGGAGCAGAAAGCCTCATCTTTTTCCCACGGAACAGCTGGTAGTTTCAAACTGCTGACGTGAGACTAGCAGCCTGATTCGTAACCATTACGCTACCATGATGAAACACCTTGAAGGAATGAGTTGCTGGGCCTGGGGGCTCAGACCAGTCTTGGGGAAACCATGGTCAATTGCCATTAAATAGTGCACGAAGACAAGGCTCTACATGCTACTTCGGTGAGAAGTGACGGGGATGTAAAAGTTCAGGAGTAGCCATCTGAGATGCAACTACTGGGCTCTCCACATGTGGGAGAAAGAAGAGAGAGGAGAATGGAAGGTGCTTAGAAACAACGAGTCCAGTTAGAAACTGGAGTCCAGCTTAGAAACTAGCGGACCACATGATCATCCGTCTCCATGACCCTGAAACCAGAAGAAGTAGACGGTGCCCAGCTGCCATTACCAACTGCTAGGAGAGGAATCCTATTAGAAGACCCTGGACAGAAGGGGAGAAAATGTGAAATAAAACTCAAAATCAACCTCGAGACTATGGCCCTTCAGATCTGGAAATGAACTCACCCCCATGGCAAGGAATAGATATACATCTGGGGTGGGGGGGATGCAATGCTATGTGGTCCACACACCACAGAATGTCAGCCATCCGAGATCCAAAGGACATGATTTACCTAAGGACAAAATTCAGAACGGTGCGGAAAGGAGAAGGAACGGGAACAAGAAACGCAGGGAGGAGGTAGGCAGAGTGATGATACACTGAGGGAAATGCAATCAAGATGAGATAAAGTGTGTGGTTTGTTGGATGTGAAACACAACCTGCCCTATAAACTTCACTCAATTGACAAAAAGCTTCAAAAAAAAAAAAAAATCACCATTTTCAATGTGTAAACCCTAGACATGAAGTACATACAGTCATCGCTCCTCTCTATCCCAGAACTCTCCCAAGCAGAGGCACCAGGTACATTCAGCGGTCACTTCTTAACTCCTCCAGCACCTGCAGCCATGAATCTCTCATTTCTATGGAGATAACTGTCGTGGACACTGCCTGGAATGGGGCCAGACAGCACATGGTCTACATGTCTTGACTTCTCTCACTCTGCATTATGCTTGCAAGATCACCCACACTGTAGCAGGCTGCTAACGTCAAGTTCAGCAGTTCAAATCCACCATCTGCTCCACCAGAGATGGACTTTCAACTCCCACAAAGACTTACAACCTCCTCAGTCAAAGCCACACCACCACCACCACCACCAATATTCCCTAGACAGATCATATAGCTCTTATCCATTCCTCTGCTGATGGGGAGATTTGAGCTGTTTCTTTCTTTTGCTATTGTGAAGGGTGCTGCCAGGAACACTGGTGTACAAGTTTCCCTGTGAAGATACATTTTCAATTCTCTTGGGTATATACTCATACCTAAAAGCGGGATGGCTGGACCATACGGTAATTCTACGTTTAACTTTTTGAGGAGCTGCCAAACTGTTTCCAAACAGCAGCTGCACCACTTCCCAAGTTCCAAATTCCCACATCCTCACCGACACTTGCTATTTTCCTTATTTTTCTTTTATGGCCACTCTATTGGATATGATGTGAATTGGAAGTAGCATCTCATCACAGTTTTGAGTTCTATTTCCCCATAGGACTCCTAGTGTAGTGCTATAGGATAAGCTCTGGTCTGGGAACCACAAGATCAGCGGCTCAAATCCACCAGCGGCACCTCGGAAATGCTGTACAGGGTCTCTATGAGTCAAAATCCACTTGACGGCACTTAACAACGGTGACAGATGATGCTGAGCATCTTCTCATGGGCTTTTGGCCACGTTACAACAAGCCCATCTGACTGCGGCCTCACATTCACCTTGAGCTCACCTACATTCCCCGCATCTTAGGCGCAGAAGTGGCAGCCAAGGCAGGCCTTCCCAGTCTTGTGCTGGGAGAATTAACTATTGAACCCAATTAGCACACTGTGCAATCTCATGTTTTGGTGTTAGCCCAGGACTTTTTAACTTGTGTCTGTAAGCGTTTTTTGACAATCTAATTTCATGAACCAATGTTTCATCATCATCTCAGCTTTAGGTCATTAACAAATTAGACCTGTAAGTCTTCTCTGTCCTCATGCCAGATGTGACTAAGTGTTGACAGGGCTGCAAACATTTTTAGACCACCTGGAGCACTGACAGAGAGAGACAAGTCTTGGAATGTGGCCGTGCACGGCTGGGGGAGCTGGGAGAGGGCAGAGCAAACTGAGAGGCCAGTATGTGAACTTCAGTAACTTGCTATGGTGACCCACAACTGCAGGGGACAGGAAGAAGAACTCCGAATTCACAAAGTATAGCAGATACTAGGAAGTATTCTACATAAGCAATTCAGGACGAGAATCAAAGGTGGAGGGAGGTTTTAAAAATAAGAATGTGCCAACTGGCAAATGGAATCTAGAAAGGAGACATTTAGGAACAGACAAAAATCTGAGTATTCAGATGGGAGGCAAGTTGTCAGCTGGTAGCAGGGCCTGGACTGTAGGCTGGGCTCTAGTACAGACCAACACTCAGACATGACATCCAGGTCAGAAAAACAAAATAGAGAGACCTGGGCACACACAGTAGACCTCTTCTCCGAACCCAGCAGAAACTCATTCTGAAAGCACAGGAAACGGCTTCATTTAGCAGGACTTATTGAAAAGACAAAACAGCACGCTGCCATCAGGTGGGTGCAGACTCGCAGCAACCCTGCAGGACAGAGTGGGACTGGCCCAGTCTCGGGGGCTGCATGTCTCAATGCAAGCAGACCTTATCTTTCTCCCGTGCAGTAACTGGTGGGTTGGCAGCTCAGCCAGACCATCAGGGCTCCCGGGACTCCTGAGAAGGAGGGCCAAATGCGAGCTGCTTGAGTCCTGGAAGCAGTCGTGTCCAGACTGAGGAGCTAGAGCTGAGGACAGCACTGAGCTGGTAGCAGTACGGTGACCCTGCTAGAGAGGGGATCCAGATGAGTTCCAAGACCAGAGACCAGTCACCTGATGAGCAAGCGCTGTCTTGTTGCCTGTGGACCACAGCCATGTCTGCACTGCACTGCGACATTGAAATACACTAAGATTTCTGCGCCGCTGCCTGGCGTCCACCTCACAGTGGGCCTCTTCCATCTTGTGTTCACAGTGGCCAGGCTTTTGGAAGCTCTCTTGTCTCTGGTGTTTCCCCCAAGGTCTAGCCTTCCTAATACACGCAAAGAGTTTTCCCTCATTTCTTCCTCACGTGCTTTTTTCTGTGATGTTGTGGTCCATTTAAGGTCACTAAGCAATTCATAATCACAATCTTACCCCTTTTTTTTTTCACTTTCCTAACTCCAAAGTCTTTCTGTTTTAAATTCAATTTTTAATTTTCAGGTAACAATGTAACAATGAATAATTGTAGATTATATGGAGTTGCAAGAGTAACACAAAAAGATCACATGCTTCATTTGCCTAGTTTCTCCCAATGTAATATCTTTTTTTTTTTAATTAAACTTTTTATTATGAATCAGATGAAGGTTTATAGAGCAGACCAGTTTTCCATTCAATAATTCAGACACATTTTGCTTTTTTTTTTTTTTTAACACTCTTGCTTTGTGATACTCACTTGTCCCTCCTGGTGGGCACTGCTACTTTTCAAGTCTTGGGTCAATGATATCAAACCCACCTTTTCTCAGCCTTTTAAAGGGGGTTTTCCTGGAATCCACTGGAAGAGCCCTCACAATTCTGAGAGTTACAATGAAGAGGCATGCTGCCCCCAAGGGTCCTATCATCTGCAAATCACCAGAAAGTCCTTCCTTACTCCGGACAAAACCCAAAGCAATTCCAAGCACCTGTGGCTCTCACTGCGCTCCTTACCGAGATTATCCAGGGCGTAGTGGAAAAAAGCACGGAACTTGATGTGCTTGTTGCACACTATGTCAGGATTCGGAGTCCTCCCTTTTTCATACTCGTTCAAAAAATCACTGAAATAAAACGAAAAGCATTTTTACATTTCTAACTACAAAACATTCCTCAAAAAAAATTAAATTACTTGCTTAATTTAGTTTCTCCATGTCAAAACAAAATCAAAATTTTCTTTCTGCAAAACAGAAGAGCCTCCGTATGTACACACTTTCAATGTTCTCATCCAACAGCTCTACCGAGGCAGCTGCATGGAACCTGTGACAGTCTATGACGCGATCTACACCTGGGGGGACAGTAAATGCTTTCTGGTCACTCTGCCTGTCTCCCCAAAGGCTCAGTGGAGCCTGTGGTCAGGGGACGAGTGGGGGGCTGAGAGCCACTCACTCAACTAACTCCAAAGAGGAAGGCTGAGATGAGGAGGTCATTCACGTGACGTGGATGGGGGGTAATAAAACCATCCAGATTTACAGTCCAGGGTTCTCTTAGCCATCCTGCAATCTCACCCTGGGAGCCTGGGTCACTGGGCAAATACTGACCAGTTCACTAAAACATCCCTAATGTCACCAGGCACACTTCTGAGGACCAGGAAGTCCTGCATACGGAAAGATGAGCTAGCACACCCTGACCAAATGGGGTTCTGTTCTACCAGACAGCCAGACTGGACAGTGGGAGGACGTTCCAGTAAAACCTGTAACCTGGGCAAAGTAGAAACCTGTCAGAGAAGGAAGGCACAAATATTCCCACTAGCACAGTGACAGAGAACGACAGAGAAGTGGTTAAGACTGCACCCTGTCAAAGGCAGAAAACTTATGAAACCTGGAACGCGGTCCTGTGGCCTTCCGGCTCTCGCAGGTTCCACAGTCTACCCTAGCATGATGTAGAGAGAATTGAACCGTTTCAGGCATTCACTTCGGGAGGTGTAACAACCAGTTGCCGTGGCGACAACTCTGACACATGACGCCCCATGTGCTGGGCTGCTTTCAGAAACAAAGTGCCAGGTCTTCGTTCCCAGGAGCCTGAGTGGACTTGAACCACCAACTTTTCAGTTAACATGTGCCACCCAGGATTCCTTTAATCCTGTGAGTGTTAATCATACTTGTGGGATCAGGAGAGATTTTAAGGTTCTTTGGCACCCAGGAGTCACATGACTTTTTCGCGGCTTTCCAGATCATGTATCTAGGCCATCTTGCCCGAACATCGGGCCTCACCTTGCCACACTTCTCGGGGAGACCACAGCCGTCTCCCCCACTGTGTGACTGTAGCAGCCGGCCCTGATGTGGAGGCAGGTCACCGAGGTGGCAGCACGGAGGTGGTGTCTGCGGCACTCACCTGAACACATCGTTCCAGTATTCCTTCACATAGGACACGTGGTGGAAGGGGATGTCCAGAACCTGACACACTTTGTAGGCGTCTTCACAGTCTCTATCAGCGGAGCACACACCATGCTCATCCAGAGGGTCCCAGTTTTTCATAAACACCCCTGTCACCTGGTAACCTGGGGAATGAAGGGCAAGTTCTCAGAGTATGTAACTCAAGTCACCCTAGGAGGACAAAGGTGCAGGCTTCCGGACCCCACGCTCCTAAGCTTCTGCACGGGTTTGCCAGGCAGTCTCTCTCTGCCCTGGCCCTTCAGACACCCACTTCACTGTGGCAAAGCCTCCAGCCTCACTTGGCATCAGACTGTCTGCAGGAATCCCCAAGATGTGTAAGAGAACTTCTTGTCTTCGAGTCCCCCCGAGGCCTGCACCCAGGAGGGATTACCAAGTGTGCAGTGAAGAACAGAAACTACAGCATAAAGAAAAACCACCACCAGCTAACAGACTGTTAAGCTCATTGCAAAGGCTCTTCCAATTACCATGTTAGATTTTAAATCATCAGACATAAAATACATCAAATTCATAGTCCAAGAGTTCTATCACATATATTTTATCATGTTTGTTTCTCCAGTGAGTCCTGGTGGTACAGTGGGTTGGGCACTGGGCTGCTAATGACAGGGTTGGCGTTTCAAGTCCATCAACCATTCCACAGGAGAAAGATGAGGCTGCTGTCTGCTCCCATGGAAATTTCATTTCAGAAGCCTGAAGCAGCTCTACTCTGTCCTCCAGGGTCGCTGGAAGTCAGACTCAAGTGATGGCAGTGAGTTTTTTGATTTTTATCTTTCTTCCTTTCTACTGTGACTAAAGGAACTCTGGTACTGTAGTGGTTACGAATCGGGCTGCTAATCTCACGGTCAGCAGTTCAAAACTACCAGCTGTTCCGCGGGAGAAAGATGAGGCTTTCTGCTCCCGTAAAGATTTACAGCCTCGGAAACCCTGTGCAGGGTCGCTGTTGGAACCAGCTCCACAGCACATCATAACAAGTGTGACTAAGAACCAAATGTTGGAAAGACCACACTGGTGCCCTTATACGGTCATAGCCAACTAAACAGGTGTCTTCTCCAGGTAATATCTGGATTCGCTTTGGTAGGTAGAGTAGGTTCAATACAGTGAAAGGGCATATGGCTGTTAATAAGGCATTTAAGTAACCCCAAAAACTCCCGGTGTAGCACTGCAGACTATACACTGTGTTGCTAACCACACGTTGGCAGTTCAAACCCACCAGATGCTCCTTGGAATATACAGAGTCACTGAGTCGGAACCGACTTGATGGCACTTTATCAATAATAATTGACTCCAAAAGAACAAAGAAGAGACTCCATGTGGCTTTGCCACAAACTGAATGGCCACATTCACAACCCATCACCCCCAGGAGGCAGGCAGGCCCTCCTCTGCTCCCTGAAACATCAGTCGGTTTCTCTCCAGGCCCCCTGCACCCAAGGTCCTCGGGGCAGGGACCGGGTTCATTCAACCTGTGTCCCCGCAGTGCCTGCAGAGCGTGTAAACAATTCCATGCACAGAGCTTGCTTTGAGCTTCACTTGCCTAATGGTTTTCCCAGTGAAAAGGTGGGGCCCAGTCACAAGGGCAGAGAAGGTAGAACCATGTTTGTTCTCTGCCAAGTCCACCAGTGTCCTCCACTGAGGAGAAAAACCCGAGAGGAGGGGTTAATTGAAAGCCATGGAGGCTGAGGAGGAGGGAGTCCACTTCTTGAAGTAGAGATTTCTCAGCTCCCCTTAGCCAGTCTCTTCCCTCTCCTCAGCTCCCACATCTCCTGATGACAAGCCCAATGTACTTGACACAAAGTCTGGCCATCCTTGCCTCTAAGGAGCATCTGGCTGTACTTCTTCCAACAATTTGTTGGTTCTTCTGACAGTCCAAGGTATTTTCAATATTCCACGACAACACCACAATTCAAATGCATCAAGTCTTCCTTATTGTCCAGCTTTCATGAGTATCTGAGGCAAACGCAAGCATCTCCTTCACCTTCCTTGGGCCAAACGCAGCCAGCACTTTCGTGTCTCTGCCCACCTGACTGCACAAACTGCTTTCCTCCTTACCCAGCATCTCTCATTCTTTGCTTACTGAAGTCTCAGTTCAATACCATCATTTCTAGGACTTTCAATTCCCCCTTTCTCCCAATTACATGTGTTAAAAGTTTTCCTGTACCTCTATGTAGCACATTAGAGCACCCAAGATAACTATTATTATTAACAGTGTTGTTGTTGTTATTGTTATGCGCCATCTGATCAGTTCTGACTCATGGCAACCCTACGTACAACAGAACAAAACGCTGCTCAGAGCTGCAGCAGCGCAATCTTTGCTGTGAGTCCATTGTTGCAGCCACTGCCAACCCATCTCAAGAGTCGTCTTCTTCTTTCACTGGCCCTCTCTCTCTCTTACTAAGCATGTTCTTCCCCAAGGCCTAGTCCCTCCTAACGGCACATCCAAAACACGTGAGACAAAGTCTCAGCATTCTTGCTTCTAAGGGGCATTCTGGCTGTACTTCTTCCAGTACTTTTGGCAGTCTATGGTACATTCAGTATTCCTCATCAACACCAAAATTCATAGGCCTTATTTAGTCTTCCTTATTCACGGTCCTGTTTTTGCATGCATGAGTCAATTGAAAATACCATGACTTGGGTCAGGCACCTTAGTCTTCCAAAGACCATCTTTGTTCTTTAACACTTTAAAGACGTCTTGTGCAGCAGATTTGCCTATTGCAGAATTTCAGTTTCATTTCGGGGCTGCTGTTTGTATAGTAGAACCAAGTAAAATAAAATTCTTGACAACTTCAATCTTTTCTCTGCTTATCAGGATGTTACTTATTCGTTCAGTTGTGAGGATTTCTGTCTTGTTTCAATATAATCCATACGGAAGGGTTGTTGTCGTTAAGTGCTGGCGAGTTGGTTCCGACCCATAGCAACCCTGTGTAGGGTTTCTGAGGAGCGACTGGTGAGCTTGAACAGCCGATCTTGCGGTTCAAACCGACTTTGCAGTCCAGTGCATTCACTCACAGCGCCATACCAGAAATCCATTATTATTAACTATGGTGGTGGTGGCTGTGTGCCGTGGAGTCGGTTCCAACTCATAGCGACCCTGTACAGGGTTTCTGAGGCTGTAAATCTTTACGGGAGCAGAACGCCTCATCTTTCTCCCACGGAACACCTGGTAGTTTCGAACTACTGACCTTGTGGTGTACAGCCCGATTCGTAACCACTACGCTACCAGCGCTCCTTATTATTAAAAATAGAGGGTGATAATAATCAGTATCAGTATCATTTTCTGAATGCCCAGTATGTGCTGGTCTGGTCAGCAGTCTTGGTGTGGCACTGTACAATAAGCACTGGACTGCTAACCACAAGATCAGTGGTTCAAACCCACAAGCTACTCCTCAGAAACACTCTACAGGGTCCTGCATCAGAACTAACTTAGCAGCCGTTAACAGTATATGCTGGGTTGGGGTAAGTACTCAAAAAGCAAACCTGTGCCACCATCCAGCCCAACCTGACTCAGAGCTACCCTACATGACAAAGGAGAAATGACCCAGTTTCCTAGGCTGTGATTTTTATGTGAACAAAATGTCAGGTCTTTATGCTGTGAAGCTGCTAAGTGGATTCAAACTTGGGATCAGTAGCAAACACTTAACCACTGTGCCACCAGGGCAAGCCAACATTCTAGAATATTTCCACACTGTAACACAGGGGGTTGTCCTGAGTCAGAATTGATTCAACCTAAGTCTGAGGATTTGCTGTTGCTTCTTAGTCAATTCAGACTCACAGGGACCCTAGAGGGCAGGGTGCAGCGGCCCCATAGGGTTTTAGATCTTTAAGGAAGCAGCCTGCCACAACTTTCTCCTGCAGACTAGCTGGTAGATTTGAACTGCTGACTTTTTGGTTAGCAGCCAAGTCCCTAACCACTGTTCCATCAGGGGTCCTTTGGTGTGGGTTGTACTTGTTGCTTTTAAGTGTTAACCATCGAGTTGGTTCCAGCTCATATCAAACCTGTAGGTTTCCAAGGGGCAGTTGCTGGGTTTGAACCAGTGCTTATCCTACAGCACACCAGGACTCCTTGGCCTAGGGTTTGCTGTTGTTGTTGTTGTTAAGTGCCATCGAGTTGATTCTGACCCATAGAGACCCTGTATAGGGTTTCCAAGGAGCAGCTGGTGAGCTTGAACCGCCGACGTTTCAGTTCAAATGACTTTGCAGTCTGACGCATTAGCCCACAGCGCCACACCAGGACTCCTGGCCTAGGGTAGCACCCTTATATAAATGTACACGTGGTGTCATTTAATCCTGCCCATAAGCTCCTGAGACAGGTTTATCACCATTTTACAGAGGAGCACGTCAATGTCTTGCCCAAGGTTGGGAACTCACATGTGCACCCCTATTCCAAGTACCAGGAGCCTCAGTGGCACAGTGGATTAAGCAGCAAACTCCTTGGAGAAAGCCGTGGTCGTCAGCTTCAGTACAGACTGTTGTTGTGAAGTGCCACGGAGTCGGTTCCGACCCATAGCCACTCTGTATAGGGTTTCCAAGGGCCCGCTGGTGAGCTTGAACCGCCGACCTTGCAGTGCAACGTGGCCAGGCTCCAATCTCACAGCCTCTGCGAGGCTCCTTCCGGATCACTGGGCGGTGGAATTGGCTCCAGGGCAGCAGGTTTAAGATTTTTGACTACGGGGCCAGAACGAGCTGTATGGCGAGCAGAGCCCACAATGGCACTCGGCCAAGGGGGTCTCAGGCTGGAAGGGTTGCAGACAGGCCGAGCCCGCAGGAGGGGCTCCCTGGGCAGGCCCCGATCAGCGCCACGCTCTGGCAGTCAGTCGGTCCGTCAGCGGGTCCGGGAGTCGGCCCATCAGACCCGGCAGGTCACCCGCATCTTTAACCCGCACACTGTCAGCACAGGGTACCACCCCGGCCTCACTCCCCGGACTTCGCAGTGGACAGCGAGTGGACGCCGCCATCAGCACCCCGCAAAGGAGGGGTGAGGACTCAGTGAGACCCTCCTCTCTCGCCCCCGAAAGTCTGGTGCCCACGACCCGCTCCTGGGAGGTAACTGACAAGTGCGAGCCGTGAATCCTCCAAGGGACACGGAGCCACCGGGGATACGCGTCCCCACCGAGGAAGTGGAGGGTGACTGGTCGCAGAGCTCACAGGTCAGGTGAAGACAGGTGAGGGGTCGCAGAAGACAGTGAGAACAGTGAGGGGCCGCAGAGGTCAAAGGGTACAGGTGAGGTCAAGTGAGGCCCCCTGCCCCCTCCCCATTCCCGTGTCCGAAGGCCGCAGAGAACAGGGGAGCCAGACAGAGGCGTGCGCGGGGCTCGGCCGCCTCACCTCTCCGCTTCAGCAGCAGCGCGGCTACGGCGCTGTCCACCCCGCCTGACAGGGCGCACACGACATGCCGTGCCGCCAGCATCCGCCCGCCCGGCAAACTTCTCGAGACTATCGCCGCCACTTCCGCTCCACGCCGGAAGTTCAGTCTCGCATCGGCGCCCGGAGAACAGAGCCCGGCCGGAATCCTGCTCTCCGCGCGCCAGCGTTCCGCAGGGCCGCTAAAAACCGTCCTGGACGTCCTGAACCCGCCTTTCTTGTCCTGCAGCGGCTTGACATGGCCAGCTTCCCAGCCCCCGGGCACCACCCCTGGGCAGCGAGCTGGGAGAGTGAAGGGCAGGGGTCAGGGTGGCGGACCCGGGCCAGGACGTCACAACTCAGACCCAGAAAGACGTAGGGTTCGAGGGCGGTGCGACCTGGCTTATCGCCCGATGCATACACAAAATCCTGTTGTTAGATGCTGTCCAGTGAGTTTGGACTCATAGTGACCCTGTGTACAACAGAACCAGGACCTTCCTCACAATAGTTGCTGTTTGAACCCATTGCTGCTGCCACTGTGTCAGTCCAGCTTCTTGGGGGTCTTCCTCTTTTCCTCTGACCCTCTGCCAAGCACTGTGTCCTTCTCCAGGGACTCGTCCCTCCTGATGGCATGTCCAGAGTACATGAGAGGAAGCAAATCATGGTTGTGGATTGAATTCTGTGTCTCCCAAATATGTGTTGTAACCCCCACCCCTATATTTGTGAGGGGAGCCCTCTCAGCACTGTGGGATAAGAACTGGACTGCTCACAATCCACCAACCTCTCTGTGGACAAAGATGAAGCATTCTGCTCCCCTAAACAGAGCTGTGTTGGAAGAAGTGCAGCCAGAGTGCTCCTTGGAGACCAGGATGGACAAACTTCATCTTTCACACTTCGGACATATTGCCAGGAGGTACCAGTTGCTGGAGAAGGATACCCTGCTTGGTAAGGTGGAGGGTGAGAGAAAAAGAGGAAGAGCCCCCCAATGATATGGATTGGCCAAGTGGCAGCATCTATGGACTCAAGCATGGCAACAGTTGTGAGGTTGGCCCAGGATCGGGCAGTGTTTTGTTCTGCTGTGCATAAAGTCGCTATGAGTCAGTACCGATTCAATGGCACCTCACAACAACAACAAAGATTTACAGCCTCCAAAACCCTATGAGTCAGCATCAACAGATGGCAGTGAGGGACTGGGTGGTGTTGGTTTACCTGTGGTAGAAGTACTGGTAATGCAATGGTTAAGCACTCTCCTTCCAGCCTAAAGGTCAATGGTTTGAAGCCACCCACATCCAGAAGCTCCCAGAGGGAAGGCAGGACAGTCTGCTCCTGAAAGATTGGTTGATGGTGGTGGTGGTGTGTGGCGTGGAGTCGGTTCCGACTCCTAGTGACTCTCTGTAACCTTTTTAGGCTGTAAATCTGAACAGGAGCAGAAAGTCTCATCATTTTCCCACAGAACCACTGATAGCTTCAACCTTGTAACCCACCACACTACCAGAGCTCCTTCCTGCAAAGATTACAGTCTAGAAAGTTCTAGTCTATCCTGTAGAGTTCACTATGAGTCCTGGTGTGACACTGTAGGCTAAGCACTGGACTTCTCACCACCAGCTGCTCCTCAGAAACTCTACACAGGGTCGCTATGAGTCAGAACCGACTCCCCAACACTTAACAATAACAGAAGTGGGAAGCCACTTTAAGGGCACAGCAGTAACAATGTACCTGTGGATGTAAACCCATTTGTTGTGGCTGTTGTCGGTTCTGACCCATAGCAACCCTGTATCCGGTTTCCAAGGAGTGGCTGGTGAGCTTGAACCATCAACCTTGCAATTCAAACTGACTTTGCAGCCCAGCGCATTAGCCCACAGTGTCATACCAGGACTCTACTTGGGAATAGGGTTTCTGTGTTATGTTAATGAGGCCATGTCAGTGTAGGGTTGGAGGGATACAGGTTGAACACTCCAAAATGGCCGCACTAATGTCAACCCAGGAGAAATGGCACATATCTGTGGCCTTGGATACCAGGGTTCTGTGTTCCCACAGACCCGACTTACCTACTAAGGAATAGCAGACAACAGGAGCCAGGCTGGTTTCTGTTTTCCCTGAGTCTCAGCTGGAGATAAAACTCTCCTTATTCATTCTCTGAACCCTCCCTGTCTGCTTGGAATATGAGGCTTGTTTACCACATAACATGTAAAAAGAGAGCCCCATCCAGTGTGGAAAATCTTGAATGTCCAGTCAGCTGCCACCGAAGGCAGCTGTCACGTCCTTAACAGCAAGATTCCCTGTCAGTAAACCATCTTTTATTTTTCTTTCTGTAATAAACTAATGCCTCTTGCATTAATTTCTTTCTTTCTTTTTTTAGGTCTCTAGTCAACCACCTACAGAGAAGGCTTTTCCCTTCTGGGCCTGAACCTCAACAATGAATTCTCCTAAACCTAATCACTTTGGGGATATAAAAGAGCAGATTGGGGCAGAAGAAAGCAGACAAGGGAAGACCAAACTAGTTGAAGACAGAAGAGGCTAACCAGTTTACAAACCCAGGAACTTTAAGTAAAAAAGAGTTGAGAGCCAGTGATTGCCTTAATTTCTTGGTGCTGCTTCAACACTTTAATAAAAATCTATTGTAGCTTAGTGGTTACGAATCAGGCTGCGAACTGCAAGGTCACCAGTTCGAAACTACCAGCTGTTCTGCGGGAGAATGATGAGGCGTTCTGCTCCCATAAAGATTTACAGCCTCGGAAACCCTGTACAGCTTCACTATGAGCCGGAACTGACTCCACGGCACACAGCCACCAGCCACCATCTACTTATAACTTAGAAGTCCACATTTAGGAACAGATGTCTGTTCAGAGAAACTCTTGGTAACTTTAAGATGTGTTACCCTAAATAAAAACAGCTTAGAGATTGTGTAGCTACTTTAGTATGCGTATGTGTGTGGCTTTGTTTTGGTTTGTGTCGTACTGTTTTGAGAATGTAATGCTGTTGGAGCATAGAATATCAACATAAGCCTGTTTAACCTTCTTCTTAAAAGCTTTTGGTCCGTATGATCAATGACTCTAAATTCGAAGGAAAATAACATGCTGCAAAGATTGCATTATAAGTCGTTATAAGTGCTCTCAAGTCTGTTCTGAATCCTAGTGACCTTAGATAGGGTTTTTGAGGAGTGACTGGTGGGTCTAGACTGCTAACTTTGTGCTTAATTGAATGTAATAAGCATCTTAAAATATTTTCCCAATATATCCAAGAAGTCTTTGGAAAGCAGATTTACCTGGATTCTTTCTGGAAAAACAAAATTGTTCTTAGGCGTCATTGAATCGATTTTGACTCATAGGGACCCAACACACAACAAAAGAAAACCCTGCTCTGTTCTGAGCCCCCTTACAACTGTGGCTACGTTTGAGCCCATTGGGGCTTTCACTGTGTCAATCCATGTGAGTGAGGGTCTTCTTCTGTCACTGACCCTCTACCAAGCATGATGCCCTTCTCCCGAGACTAGTTCCACCTGATAATATTCTCACCATTCTCACTCTAACGAGCATTCTGGCTGTTACTACTTCCAAACAGATTTGTTCCTTCTTCTGGCAATCCATTGTAAGGAGGCTGATTTTTACAGTGCTGTCTGAAACTGTATATTAGAAATTGTGTTAGCACAAAAAGCTATCATCAATTCAGAATCCCAAGAATATTAAACAAGATTGCTACACATAGAGTAATTGTACACATTAAAGTAATAATAAAAATATCACTTTATTAAGAAGTTTCAAAAGAAAAAAGCATTTGGTCCTGGCTTCCCTCTTGCGTGAAATTTACATGAGCATCTTTTGCAATGTAGCTGCTTTCTGTTACTGTTTAGTAGGCAGTTCACCTAAAAAGTGCTCTTTTATGAAAAATCATTTACTTTGGTTGTTGTTGTCATTGTCAAGTGCCATCGAGTCAATTCCAACCCTTAGCAACCGTGTATAGGGTTTCCAAGGAGCAACTGGTGAGCTTGAACCGCCAACCTTGTAGTTCTAAAGGTCAGAGCTTTGATTCCCCACCAACTGCTCCAAGGGAGAAAGTTGTAGTAGTTTATTTCCATAAAGATATACAGCCTAGGAAGCCCGATTTTTGCAGCTACTGTGCCAATCCATCTCATTGGGAGTCTTCCTCTTTCTTACTGACCTTCTGCTTTTCCAAGCATGGTGTTCTTCTCAAGGGACTGGTCCCTCCTGACAACATGTCAGAAGTATGAGAGACAAAGTCTCACCATCCTGGCTTCTAAGGAACATTCTTGTACTTCTTACAAGACAGATTTGTTTGGTCTTTTTGCAGACCATGGTACTTTCAATATTCTACACCAACACAATTCGAATGCATCAATTCTTGTCTGCCTCATTCATTGTCCTGTTTTGAGGACAATGTATATAAAGTAATTGAAAATACCACCTTAATCCTGACACTGATATCTTTGCTCTTTAATACTCTCAAGAGGTCTTGTGCAGCGGATTTGCCGAATGCAATATGTCGTTTGATTTCTTGACTGCTGCTTCCATGAACATTGTGGATCCAAGCAAAATGAAATCTTGGAAAACTTTAATCTTGTCTTCATTTATCATGATGTTATTTATTAGTCCAGTTGTGAGGATTGTTCTTTTCTTTACATTGAATTGTAATCCACAACGAAGGCTCATTCTTTTAATCTTCATCAGCAAATGTTCAAGTTCACATCACTACCAGTCAGAAAGGTGGCGTCATCTGTATATTGCAGGTTGTTAATGAGCCTCCCTCCATTCCTGGTACTGCAAATGCAACTATACTGTTGAGTGGGTTCCCACTCATAGGGTCCCTGAATAGGATTCCGAGGAGCGACTGGTAAGTTTGAACCGTCGACCTCTCAGTTCAAACTGAATTTGAGGTTCAGTGCTTGTCCTACAGCACCTCACCAGACTCCATCCTAGTACTACATGCTATATTAGAGACGGCACCAGCCCCTCAGACAATCTCGGGGTGCTTTAGACTGCCATGGACCGTCTGTGATTTCTCACTGAGCCCTGAGTGTTGGATGGTCTTAGGGACCGTCTGTGATTTCTCACTGAGCCCTGAGTGTTGGATGGTCTTAGGGACTGTCTGTGATTTCTCACTGAGCCCTGAGTGTTGGATGGTCTTAGGGACCATCTGTGATTTCTGTCAGCACTGGTCTCTGGCTCTTCTCACCCTGGGGTTTGGAGGGAAACAGTCACAGTGCAGTCTAGTTACTGTACTGTCTTAGTTCTCTAAACCCAAAGCTGTTGAGTTCTACTCAGAACTACCCCATGGGACGGAGTGGACTGCCCCACAGAGCTTCCTAGGCTGTACATCTTTATAGAAACAGATGCCACAGTGTTCTCTCTCAGAGCAGCTGGTAGATTCAAATCTCTGACCACCACCAAGGCTCATTCTTGGTTCTCTAGAGCTGCTGTAACAGAAAGACCCCAAGTAAGTGGCTTTGAAAAAGAGAAATTTACTCTCTCCCAGTTCAGGAAGCCAGAAGTTCAAATTCAGGCTGACAGAGAGAGAAAGAGCCTTCCTCTAGAGCAGGGATGGGGAACCTGTTTTATGCCAAAATTTATAACATCATTCACAATTATCAACTTAAAAATTAGCCTGCTGGTATCCTCAGAGCAAACCCCCTTCCAAGACTAAAAACTCAATGGGAATACACGCTATGATTGGTGACCACGTTCGTCACTGATAAGGGGAAGTGAGGGAAAAACAGCAATGAAGCTGCGAGCTAAGCCCTACAACGTTCAATAGACATCTGTGAACCTGGGTGGAGACCTGGTTGGCCAGCAGTGTGGCAAGACCTGGGGACTCTTCGGCCCAGACTCAATGACATAGCCGCAGAGGACTAGAGCGGAGAGTGAAGTGTCCAACTGATAAGAAGAGAGGGCATATGCACAAGAACACCCACACTTGCAGATAATACCCACTTGACCTGGCTTCAATGACTGGAAGCTAATGACTGGCTTCAACTAGAAGAGGAAAAAAAGAGTAATCTGATACAATTTGATGAACTTGACCCACACCTATGGATGCAGGAACCCAAAAGAGGGAACAAATCTTTACAGCGAGGATCATTCCCACCCCCTCCATACACAGAGTAGACAGGGATGGGCAACTTGGACACTGGCTACCCAAAATCGGGGGCGGGAGGGAGTGCTACAAAGGCATGAAGTGACTGGCTTACAAGCTTTCAAGAGGGAACCTAGATCCAGAGGGCCTGAAGGAAGGTAGAATCTCCAATGAGTAGTATCCAATCTGTCTAGGCAGGGCTGATGAAATGCACATAGGTCTCTTGTGATACAATAGTGAATAATTGTTATCAGGACTGATTTTGAGGGTCAGAAATGTAAAGGTAGATGTTTTGTAGCAAGGAGGGGAGTGATTAACTTTGCAATCTAGGAGCGGAGGGCCCTAGGACCATGAAGGGAAAACAGTGGAGAGTGGGACCCTACCCAGAGAAGCAGTGATGTCAGAGATGGAGGCAGAGACGATGACGTGGAGAGATGGAGCAGCTGGGGACTTTAGACCCAGAGAGGGAGAGGGGCTGTGGCAGGCTTGCAGGGTATTCCCTATGGTTGGTTGATGATTCATGGAGGGGATTGTAACCATGGCAATGAAATGATATAGGATGAATGTAAAACTAATGTTCTCCAATGTAAATGATCACATAATTCACATTGAAATAAAGAAAATTAGCCTGCTGTATTTGGTCAGTTAACTAATCCCTAAATGTGAGTCCTGGTGTGGCGCTGTGGGTTAACGCGCTGCGCTTCAAAGTTGGTTTGAACTGCAAGGTCGGCAGTTCAAGCTCACCAGTCACTTCTTAGAAACCCTATACAGGGTCGTTGTGGGTCGGAACCGACTCGATGGCACATCACAACAATAGTGATCCTGTTGTGGCACTGCAGACTAATGCACTGGACTACAAGATCGCTTTGAACTACAAGGGCAGCCGTTCAAATCCGCCAACCACTCTTTAGAAGCCCTATGCTATGAGTTGGAACCGACTCAATGGCACATCACCAACAATAATGTGATGGCTGAAACTGCAGTTGTCTTGGCAGGGCCAGACCTGATTTCACCCGTGGGTTGGACGTTCCCCACCCCTGCCCTGGAGGCAGCGATATGAGAGACTAGCATGAAGGGCCTTTGGGGTGTGTGACAGTGAACCCTTAACTCCGTTTCCGTCTTGCCAGCAGTCTAGAATCCATGCTGAATTTGACAGCTGTCTTTTCTGCCTCGGACCTTGACTCTCACACTAACCTTGTTACCCTAAAGGCCTAACCAGTTACCCTAAAGGAACAGTTCCTTTTCTCCGAGGTCTGGCAGGTGCAGCATGTCACAGTTGATTCCTAGGGTCTTTCCACTATGGTCAAACAGATGCAAGATCGTTAGCTTATACCTGAAGGGTCTTGATGTACTCTATTATCGATACATTTATAATGTATCCCTAGATTGGACGGCAAGGTTGGTTTGAACCACAAAGTCAGCAGTTCAAACTCCCCAGCTGCTCCTTGGAAACCTTATACAGGGCTGCTGTGAGTTGGAACGGACTTGAAGGCACTTAATAACGAGAAGCAGAATTGATTAGGGAAGCTAGTTTTATAGCAGGTGACTCAAGAAACCCGCTTTTCCAGTCCAGAAGTTAAGCCTTACTAAACGGAAAAGTATGTTGCTGATGTTGTTGTTAGGTGCCATGGAGTTGGTTCCGACTCATAGTGACCCTGTGCACAACAGAACGGAACACTGTCTGGTCCTGGGCCAACCTCACAAATTTTCAGCTTGAGTCTATTGCTTCTGCCAGTGTGCCAATCCATCTTGTTGGGGGTCTTCCTCTGTTTTGCTGACCTTCCACTTCACCAAACATGATGTACTTCTCCAGGGACTGGTCCCTCCTTATTACAATATGTCCAAAGCATAAGAGACGAAATCTGGCCATCCTGGCTTCCAAGGAGCACTCTGGCTGTCCTTCTACCAACACAGATCTGTTGGTTCTTTTGGCAGCCTGTGGTACTTTCTATAGTCTCCTCCAACACCATAACTCAAATGTATCAATTCTTCTATGGTCTTCCTTATCCACTGTCTTGTTTTCACATACATACGAGGCTGTTAAATGTACCCTTAACCAGTCATGTGATCCCACGTGTGATCTATCTGCCCCTGTTAACAACCTGCATCTGGCAGGTTGAGAATGTAATGCTGGCTGTGATGGTTCAGGTCATGTGTCAACTTGGCTGCGTCATGATTGTCAAAGTGGTTTGACAGTTATGTAGTGATGTACTCATCTTCAATTTTTCCATGTTTTTGGTAAGTGCTGTGGAGTTGGTTTAGACTCATCCTGACCCTATATGGGGTTTCTGAGCCTTCTAAATCTTTTGCAGAAACAGAAAACCTCATCTTTCTCCAGCAGAGTGGCTGGTGGACTCAAACTGAGGACCCTGTGGTTCACAGTCCAGCGCTCATCCCATTTTTGCACGATACCCTGAGATCTGGAACCTAGCCATGTTGATTAATGAGGAATGGGTGTACTCCAGACACTAACAGCAGAAAGTTATCAGGATGGCCCTACCGCCTTTAAACAGGAAGTTCCTTGCCATCAGGCGAGGGTGGGGTGTAAAAACTGAGTGCTGCCTAGAGCCCTTCTCCTCAACATTGGCTACGTGACTGAGTCTGAGGAGATAGGACTATGAGTTCATGGTTTTCATTTATTTTTAACTTAGAATGGCTTTTGGCAATGAGGCAGCTTTCCTGTGGCCCAGAACCCACTGCTGTAGATCTGGAGTCACCAGACCGATGTGTCCGAGGAGAACACTGCTCCACAGGTTTCCAGTGGCTGTGATTCCAGGGGATGGATTGCCAGGTCTTTCTTCCACAGCACCTTAGTGACACGGTTATCACTGTCTTCCATCAGACAGCCTCTGTGTCTGCCCCCGAATGCTGCTGAAGGGCCACCTCACGGAGTCGCCCTGTGAACCAGGCCACAGGATACTGCCCAATGGCATTGAGAACAACCTTTCCCGGTGTCTATTTTTATTTCGGTGTGTGCCTCCTCCCATACCTCCCTAGAGCGGTGTGGTCTGTGGACCATCTGCCCCAGAGGCCTGTGTGTGCCCCAGACCCCAGGAATCAGCATCTGAGGTGTGGGGCCTGAGGAACTGTACCTGCAGGGAGCCGGCCACTAAACTTTGAAAGGATTCCTGGGGTGGTGTTTTAGGGTCAGCACTGGGCTGCAAATCATAAGGTCGGCAGTTCAAACCCACCAGCTGCTCCTCGGAAACCCTGTGCTGGGCTGCTGTAAGTCAGAATGGATTCAACAGCACCTAACAACAAAACTTTGAAAATCACTTTAAAGGGTTAAAGTTGGTTCATATAAACAGGTAGTGACTAAAGTGATAAAAACCAGCTCTGCATGCCAAGAGAAAAATCAAGAGAGGCTTAATATGCTGAAATGCATTTCACAATTTATTTTAGATCTGGAATATTTAACTTTTCACACAAACATAATTTTTAAAAACAACCACTTGCCATTTCACATACAAAAGACTGAGGATAAAATCTCAGCTGACAGCGGCTGAGGACTGAGCCCCACTGTGGACAAAGGACCGGAGTCCCTCAGCCTAGCACAGCCCAGCCCCAACACACCAAGCTCACATGGGTCTTCTGAAACACAGTACCTCCTACGAGTCCTTCCTAAGGGCTGAAAGGCATACCAGGGCGGAGGAAGCCCGAGCCGGGCAGCTTGTGTGTGTGCTCAGAATTTGAGAAGCGGGGACTCCACGTTCTCCTTGTTGGTGGAAGGGCTCAGCTGGATGAGAGGGGAAGCCAGGTCTATGAGCTGGAAGAGAGGGACCAGGAGATGAAAGGCTCAGCCTCCTACAATGTTCCACTGAGAAGGAACACCGACAATCGAACATCGAGGAAGCTGGCGGAGGAAAGGGGCCCATCCTGAGTGCCCCAGAGCCCCTCATGCACGTCCTCATGCTGGCCAAGGCACCAGGGGCAGGGATGGGGAAGGTCTAGGAAGAAGGGCATCTGGAACCAAGGCAGGACTCCTCTGTGGCAGCCATCGGGTGAACCCTGAGACGTTCATGCCACCAGAAGGGAGCCTGGCACCAAGTGTGTGGTCCTTAGAATGTACAAGCCTACATGGCCCCTCCCAAGGCTCACTGTGATGTTTCCAGGGTCCAGGAACAAACCTGGGACTGAGACCACCCAAGGCTGAAGCCAGCAGTCACCTGGCCCTCCTCACTTGGTACCCCCTCACCTGGCCCACTACTTGTAGAGGCTTCAGTGCAGCATCTTTATTCGCATCTGGAGTGTTTACCATGAGGTCGATCAGAGGTCTGCTTTCAGATGCCAAAGCCACAAAGGGTTTTGGTGGACACTGGTCTCCACTGGCCTCTGGTGTGTTGCAGAAGTCGATGAGAGGAAGGTCAGTTAGGGGCTTGCTCTCAGTCTTTGGGGTGATGGAAAGCTGATCCAGTTGGAGATCTACTAGGATAGCCTAGGTGATGACAGAAAGACGGGACATCAGCTTCCTGGGACTCAGAGAGAGGCCGGTACCTGTGTCAGTCACGTTGGGAGGAGAGCGGAGGAGGAGCTGACCTGTGGTGGTCTGGACTGACCCGGGCTCTCCTCACTAGTCTGAGTCCACAGCCCTGTACACATCCCTCCTGCCAACAGCTGACATCTGAGAACCCAGAGCCCCTCACTCCGCCTGGTTGCCACGCCCCTTCCTGTCGACGCTAGCTCCTCCCACAGGCGGCCTAGGGTGTGTCCACTAACCAGGGGTGAGCACAAGCAAGAGCATTTCCAGCTCTCCTTGTACCTCACTTACCTCATTTGGGGATGCCTTTTCCGCTGTTTTGGCCTCAGGCAGAGGTGCTTCTGCAGTGAGATTTTTTGACAAAGCAAAATCTCTCTTTTCTGGAGAAAAATGGAGCTCCTGGGGCACAACCGACAGGGGAGAAACACTCTCTTGGGACGAGGAGTCAGATGGGCGGACCTCCGGCTTTCTGCTGCTCTCAGTTGCCAGGTGGTCTCTGGGGAAGGAAAAAGGGGACGTGGTCTGGCTGCCCTTGGGCAGGTCTACTGTGGAGAAGCAGCATGAAGTGGGACCGAGGAGCTATGGCTCAGGTCTGGGCTCAACCAGCACCCCCAGTGAGCGTATTCCTCTTGTTAACAACCAATGGAGAGGTGGGGCGGCACTCTCCATTGTCCTGTAAGAAGCCGGGAGCACACTCAGGAGTAGCGCCTCTCAAGACAGGGAAATATGGGCCCAGCTCGCTTTCCCGTGCTTCACAGACTGCATTTTTCCCAAATGGAGGGTTTGTGGCAAACCTGCGTGTCACCAAAGTGCACCGGCACCATTTTCCCAACAGCGTGTGCTCACTTTGTGTCTATCATATTTTAGTGACTTTTGCAATGATTTCAAATATTTTTTTAGCATGATATGTGTATGATGATCAAAATGGAGATCAGAAGAGACTCTGAAACCTGTTAAAGCAAATGAAAGAAATGAGGAGGTAAAAGAACTAAATAGGTAATTTCACAAGTCAGCTAAAAAATACAAAATCAAAAAATAGATGAGTGGGACATACTAAAAATTAAAAACTTATGTACATCAAAAGACTTCACCAGAAGACTAAAATGGGACCCCACAGAATGGAAAAAAAAACTTTTGCAATGACACATCAGACAAGGAACTCATTTCTAAAATACAAAGGATACTACAACACCTCTACAAGAAAAAGACAAATAATTCAATTAAGAAATGGGACAGGACATGAACAGACACTTCACCAAGGAGGAGATCCAGGCAGCCAACAGACATGAAGAAATGTTCACGATCACTAGCCATTAGAGAGATACAAATCAAAACAACAATGAGATAACATCTCACACCAGCAATAAGAGCAAAGATCAAATAGTAGAGGACAATAAATGCTGGTGGGGATGTGGAGAGACTGGGACACTCCTGCATTGTTGGTGGGATTGCAAAATGGTCCAACCTCTCTGGAAAGCAATATGGCGCTTCCTCAGAAGGTTGACAATAGAAATACCTTATGATCCAGCAATTCCTCTACTTGGTATTTACCCACAAGAAATATGAGTCACAATCCGAGAAGATATATGCACACCAATGTTCATAGCAGCACTATTTACAATAGCAAAAAGATGGGAGTCAGCCAAAGTGTCCATCAACTGATGGATAAGCAAACTGTACATACACACAATGGAATACTATGCTACCTTGAAGAATAACAAGGACGCTGCAAGCCACCACATCACATGGATAAACCTTGAGGACATTATGTTGAGTGAAATTAGTCAGTCACAAAAGGAGAAATACTGCACAGGACCACTACTGTAAAAGACTAAGAAAAAGAATCCATATTAAAGGGGGGTGGATTCTTTGCTGGTTGCTGGGATGTGGGGGTGGGGTGAGGGGAGTGAGGGGAAGGTGGGGTACAGGGCAGGGAATAGACACAGGATAGTTTGGGTGCTGGAGAGAGGGGCAATACACAAGGGGAATGGAAGAACAAAGCAGACGGGAAAACAATTAGGTAGGTTTGCATGGGCTAAGTGGGACAGAGGTAAGTAATGATGTACACACAACCTTGGAACAACAGGGCTCTGAGATACAGGAATTGAGACATGGTTGGAATGGGGAAAAGGGGGAAATAATGTTAAGATGCTTGGCTGTCTTATGAATCTTGGTTTCCCTGGCATACCATTATAAAATAGACACTTGAGGGGGAGAGAAGAGAATAGCCAGAAATATCACCATAGAAAGTTTGTAAGTCCGTCTTCTGCCTATAACTGATTGGAATACCTAAAATGGGGCTACAACGTGCCCAGTGAAGGAGGCCTGCATTACATAAGACTATAGGTGGAATCCTGAACAGCATCCAGAATCTTCAGAGGTGGGAAATTCCCACTTGAAAGGACAAGCAGACCAGCCTAGAGTGGTTAGAAGAACAGAAGATACTTCTTGAAAGAAAGACCTACAGGAAAAATACAAAACAATAGAGGCACATCGACTGATTACTACAAGAACAAGCAAGTGCTCACCCAGGAGACATCAAGGCAAGGGGTTGGGTCCCCTCAGAATAAACTCCCTTCCAAGACTAAGACTCAATGGGAATATATGCTCTGATTGGTGACCACGCTCGTCACCAATAAGGGGAAGTGAGGGAAAAACAGCAATGAAGCTGCGAGCTAAGCCCTACAACGTTCAATAGACTTCTGTGAACCCGGGTAGAGACCTAGTTGGCCAGCAGTATGACAAGACCTGGGGACTCTTGGGTCCAGAGTCAGTGACAGAGCTACAGAGGACTAGAGTGGAGAGTGAAGTATCCAGCTGATAAGAAGAGAGGGCAAATGAACAAGAACACCCCCACTTGCAGATAACACCCACTTGACCTGGCTTCAATGACTGGAGGATCAGATCTCAACTAGAAGAAGAAAGAAGAGGGAAAAAAGAGTAATCTGATACAATTTGATGAACCTGACCTACACCTATGGATGCAGTAGCTCAAAAGAGGGCACAAATCTTTACAGCGAGGATCATTCCCATCCCCTCCGTACACAGGGTAGACAGGGATGGGCAACTTGGACATTGGCTACCCAAAATGAGAGGGCTTCAAAGGCAAGTGACTGGCTTACAAGCTTTCAAGAGGGAGCCTAGAACCAGAGGGCGTGTAGGAAGGTAGAATCTCCACTGAGTAGTATCCACTCTGTCTAGGCAGGGCTGATGAAAGGAAATGCAGATAGGTCTCTTGTGATACAACAGTGAATAATTGTTATCAGGACTGATTGTTAGGATTGGAAATGTAAAGGTAAACGTTTTGTAGCAAAGAGGGGAGTGATTAACTTTTCA